CTTCCATCTCCTTCGAGTCACCGAAGGTGCTCGATCTGGTATAAGTGAAACAATATGCGAAGCGGATGGCACCTTAATCATCAACCTTCAACGACGGTTGGAGCGATGGGCCGAACATTTTTGCTCGCAGTTTTGTTGGCCCCCAGCTCCATCTGCTACCTCTGGCGCTCGCGCTGGGGCCGAGTGGTCTACCCCAACAGACCCTCCCTCTTCCCAGGAAATCGAGCAGGAGCTCCGGCACATGAAGCGTTATAAAGCTCCCGGCCCTGATGGTCTTCACCCAGCTCTATTCAAAGATGGTGGCACATCGCTGGTCCGAGAACTCACCGCTTTGTTCTCGAAAATTTGGTCGAAGGAGAAGGTTCCATCATCTTGGGGTGAATCGATAGTCGTACCCATCTTCAAAAAGGGGCCTGCGCACAATCTGCTCCAACTACAGAGGAATAAGTTTAGTCCCTGTCGTTTGCAAGCTGCTGGTGTCCATCATACTTCGCAGGCTATCCCCAACACGCGAATCGTTGCAACGAGAAGAACAAGCTGGGTTTCGCCCTGGTCGCGGCTGCATCGATCAAATCTTCACGCTCCCCCAGATCCTCGAGCTCCGCCATGTGTATCAGAGGCCAACGATTGCTGTGTTCCTGGATATCCGTGCAGCCTTCGATTCTGTCGATCGTACAGTACTGTGGCAGTGCCTTCTGAGGAACGGTGTCCCCGAGAAGTTCGTCTCCATACTGCGCGCTCTATACAGTCTGACCTCGGGCAGGGTTAGGGCTTATGGCATGCTTTCGCCTACCTTTGTGGTCTCCAGTGGAGTTCAACAAGGATGCCCTATCTCTCCGTTCCTATTCAACTTTGCCATTGAGGATGTCCTGAAGAACGCTCTGAGCGATTCGTTGAACGCTGGCGTTGAGCTCCTCCCAGGTAGTCGAGTTGTTGATTTGGATTATGCTGATGATATCGTCTTGCTGAGTGACGATGCACAGGTCGTCCAACTTGCATTAAACCGCTTGGCGATTGAAGCATCAAAGTACGGTATGTACTTTTCGCCATCCAAATGCAAGGCTCTCCTACAAGACTGGCAGGTGCCTCTGCCTGCACTCACGCTTGCTGGTGAGACACTGGAGGTTGTGGAGAGCTTTGTCTACTTGGGAAGTTGCATCACTGCTGGCGGGGCTATTGGAGACGAGATTTCGATGCGCATCTCGAGAGCACGCCTCGCTTTTTCTAGGCTGAGGCATTTGTGGCATCGCCACGACATTCGTCTCTCCATCAAAGGGCGGGTCTATTGTGCAACTGTTCGTGCTGTACTGTTGTACGGATGCGAGACCTGGCCCATTCGTAAAGATGACTTGCGCAGGCTATCCGTCTTCGAGCACCACTGTCTGCGGTCCATTGCCCGTGTGTGGTGGCAGCACCACGTAAGCAATGTGGAAGTTAGACAGCGTGTCTTGGGACGTGGAAGCCACTCGCTCGAGGAGCTCATCTCACTGCATCAACTGCGGTGGTTGGGACACGTATTGCGCATGCCTGTCCAGCGTTACCCCCGTCGTGCGTTGTTTGCACTTGCTGGACAGGGCTGGAAGAGACGGTCTGGTGGACAGCCTACAACATGGAGAAGCCGCATGAAAAAGCTGATGAAACAATTGGCCTCGGCCGGTTGTTGTCGACTACCTGGTTGGGGTCCGAGAGATGAGGATACTTGCTGGTTGAAAACCTTGGAAGTTATGGCTCAAGATCGATGTCAATGGCGGACGTGTGCATCAGTGTGTTGCGATGTCCCTTCTTCCTCCCCCTAAAAAAGAACAAACTGAAAAAAATTTCAAAATCTGTGAGTGGTAAACTTGACAAAAAAAGCATTTCTTGTTGCTCTTTTCTTTTTATTCATATTGTTTTCCTATTCAGCCAGGATTCCGATGGCACAATATCTGTACCACAGATTGTGTATAATATATATATATATATATATATATATATACATATATATATATATATATATATATATATCTTGGGAGCGGCGCTTGTGAGCTGCTCTTCGAAATGCCGGCGCTTGCTCGTTTTGGCACTTCTGCAAATAAATTTCTGCCTCTTATGCGCCTCGTAGTCGTTGGAAGAGCCAAAGAGGAGGAATTTGTCCCATAATTTGCGCCACCGTCGAGCCACTTTACCATATTCCTTGTCGAACTAATGTGGCTTGACTGGTCTAACTTCCCGATATTTCGGTGTTACTAACCGAGAACACAGTAACGTCACTTTCTCTTTTATAACAGCTCAATGGTCTTCCACAAATGCATCTTGCGGCGGAAATCAATCCGCTTGGCTCGCGGTTCGAATTAAACCGTCAAAGTCAACTTTCCAGTCGAGCAGCGTGTTGCTGCAGAACTGTACCCAGTTTGAACAACCAGTACGTTTTTGTGTATGTTCGTCGCAGTTAGACACAGGCAGACAGCCACCACACGTCCAGGAAAGCGTTAAACGACCGTTTCGTCCTATCGGGATTCGTCAGTAGCGCGCACCCGTTGAATCCTGCTGGATTCGAACCCACGACCTTACTCTTGCGAGTCAGCGACTTATGTCACTGAGCCATGGGCGACGGCAGCGGACCACCATGACTGATATCTAACTGCGATATAACGCGGCTCATCCTCCACTGACATAAGACATACGAAGATCCAAATTGCCGACCTCTTCGATAGCCAGACATCTACTTGGAACGGGGCACGAAATTGATTCTAACTTGGTACTTACGGTTATCTACCGTAATGAAAACACCAAGATACTGAAGCTCGCGGAGGTTGTGGTAATTAATCACAGCCGTCCGGACCAAAACAGTTGACTGTCACCCTCAAGCTTCCTTGTGGATTGTGACACTTGTCTCAAACGTTGTGATTCTGTTGGAGTTTATACCCTTATGTTTCTTCCATTCCCATTCTGACACCATTTAAATCATTGATTTCCCCTTTCGTGATCGTTAAATGTCGCTCGTTTGCATGTGATCAGAAAGCGCGAAATGATATCATCGTGCAACACCCGTCTTCTCATTGTATTATTTAGAATTTTCCAGTAGTTGTAGGCTGACTCCAGTGCTGGCAATGAACACTAAGTGGTCGCATGCTGTTAGGAACTCCAAGATCTGAACCTCATACACATGTTCACAGCTTCTTAACATTATAGGTACAACGGGGTTGAGCGCGGCTTGATACCTGTCGGTTGGCACATGCGTTGCGCTGCTCCACTTTCGAGTACCAGATCCACGAACTTTTTTCCGAATTCACAATGTCCGGGCAGGAGTTGGAGCACAATTGAAGTCACCCATGAGCAGGAAATGGGGACGACTCTTGTGGCGATTCGTCAACCAATCCAAGTAACGGTTCGGGGCTACGATAAAGTGCACCTACGAGCAGTTCACAGCGCGTGGGGTGGATTGAGCAACACATTGTCGCTTCCGTAGACACTCACAAGTCGCACACATAGAGAAAACCGCGGGCAGTCGATAGTATATCACAGCGGAAACATGGGTATTCACTGAGCTCGATTTCCTTGGCAATAACCTCAGAATTTAGCCATGTCGCTGGCCGCTAGGACGCAACGAAACAACATGGTTCATCGCACTTTTTCATGAGACTGCAAACGTTGGTAAAGGCTACACGCAAGTCAAAGCAGGATCCGCCCGATGTGCTTGAAGTTTGAGCAATCTGTTTATCTTACTTCGTGAAATCTTGGAGACGACCCGAAATTTATGATACAGAGACTTGCTCCCCCTCACCACTACGTCTCTTCAGCCCAATGATGGCGGACTTTAACCATACTCGATCCACCGGATCCAAGTCTCGACGAACATGGATCTCCAAACCTTTCAGCATATTTAGACCAGGTAAGATCAGCCTCGGACTATCGGTGATTCTCATTGGCCGACTCTGTCAACCATCTTTCTTCCCAAGACGGGTACATTGTCTCACTTTCAATCCGTCCTCCCCCACCCCACGCGATGTCATGATCGTAACGCATCTGGGGAGTCGAACCACTGGACTCGGGCGCGTGGAAGATCACGAGATTAAAACGCCTCTGGTCGGCCAATGTTTAATCTGCAGGACGAGGATTTTCCCGAGCTTCACGTGGTTTGACCTGCCGTTGAGTTACAGAGACTAAACTCATCATTTTTCTGCGTTTTCTTCCTTTGTAGCTTCACATGTTTTCAGTATACAGGTTTTCACATACCGGGACATCTACGTCCGTAAAATACCACACAGGTAACATATTGGTGCCAGGTGAAAATGTACTGTCCGCAACGGTGGGACTTCGGTGAGTTTGCACGGGACGAATAAGAAAACTTTTCTGAAACCTGGAGGTGCTTCGGGATAGATTGTTCGGCCAAACACACGAAGCCGTTTCGCAACGGAATACTTCAGCCTACATGGCGGTTTGTGATTATGCTCTACTTTCTTCGGTTGAATCGCGTTTCGAAAATTCTTATATAAAATTTGAACGAAATCATATTGGGTTTCAAGGGAACGCCGAAAATGTTTTATCGATTGTCCAGTGCATGAATTATGGAATAACGTAGCACATAACACATGTGGTTGCATTTGCTCGATTTCCGACAAGTGATGGTTTCGACGTTCTAGTAATCCGAGGTCAAGATGGAGACCAATTGGGGAGCAAAAGATGATAACAAGATCTCCGAAATTAAACGGGATGACACAAGCACTGATGGTCGAATAATCCAGAATCAAAACGAAACTGAATGACATGTTACTTCCACAGAATAATTCCAATGCACGGAGAAATCCATCAAGAATCTAGCCAACACAACCAGGAAGTAACGGAGTATCATTCGTGAGGTACCTCTGGAATCAGGTGTAAGATGAATGCATTCCCGTGACCTGATACACAATGACATGAACCCCCTTACTATCCATTTGGGTTCTGTTAGATGCTCTACCACACAAAGAACAAGAGATGTCGACGTTAGCGCACAAAATGATGGTGCTTCTGGTGCTTACCAGGCGGCAACCACGACCAAGTTGTTTATAGTTTCATTCCATTGTATTTCTCGGACTTCACCCAAATATACATCGTCGTTCTCTGAACTGAACTCCACAGCATCTCCGATGGAGACAACTGAGCCGTCCGTCTCGCGTACTATCGACCGACAACACAGGCGACCATGCTTCCTTCGTTTCAGCTGAAACAATAACATAGCATTGGATATTTATCAGAAAACCATGACTCTTCTGCGACAGAACCTAAAGCTAGAATACCAATGGCTCTGAAAAACGAATAGCAAGCGGATTTCTTAACCCGTCACAACAATGACTCCTGGTCAATACGAACAAGCTTCTTGAAGGTGCTTATTCATTGTACTACTTTTCGTTAATCAGTAGACCGTTTCTATCTAGAATGCGTCTCGGGGAGTGTGATGCAGCGTCCACTCACCCTGGATGAAAACGCTTGCGCCAAAGGCCCGAAAGGACAAAATTTGGTTACTCACTTTTTCCAAAATACTCCAACCCCGACTGTCGCTTGAATCACTTGTCGAGGACATCGTATCAAACGGGACCTCTGGATCCATTTTGGGGCTGATTACCGACCTATGGTCACTCATATTCGTCATCGGTTCGGTTTTCATGTTAGTAGAGGAGCTGGTATGCGGCAGATCGGTGGTGCTCGAGTCCTTCGGAGCCCCCGCTGTAAATTTTCCAAGCCGAACGGCCCCAGAAGGATTGGTGTCGTTGCGAAGTTCATCTGTGGGTAGACCAGCGATACTGTTACGACGCCAGGCTTGCTTCATTTAATGGTAGTGTAGTGATTAATGTTTTCCCTGCGAATGTAGCATGGAAGTTCCTTGAAATCCCCTTATTCCAAACGTGTGATTAAGCTTTGTATCATTTTACATGGGAGCCTTTTTATGGTAAACTTAATGGCACTCAAAAGTCACACCAAGACGCCACATTACTGCTGATGGAGTTAGGTCTCACAATCAGGACGAAAACAGTGCTGGGCTTCGAAGCATCCCATGGTTGTCTTGATTGCGAGAATAATGTTTACCTAACCAAAGTGGATTTACGGACAAGCCGAACTGTAGAGATACGCAGAAAGGTTGAGAAAATAAAATCCAAACTAAGCAAATGCGCGAAGAATATTCTTTTCGATAATTCTCATCGGGCGTGTACAATTATGAAGCAAAATATTGGAGAGAATAAAGCTCGTAGAGGCTTGTACAGAAAGCAACCAACTCATTAACTGGGCAGTATGAAAACTAAATCAATGGTTTGATCAATCAAACTGTCGCATTAGGAAGCAGGTGATCAAGGTAGGTCATATGTCAAGTTCAAGACCAAGGCAATTTCAGAGCCTGTAGCAGTGTGCGCTGTTTGCACAGCTCTGGTTTTAGAACCTTGATTGCAATGACTTCAGAAATGGTCAACAGATGTTTCTTAAGCTGTTTTGGGTAGCGTTTAGGGATAGTATAAACGACTTGAAACGACTGGTTCATCTGGACTTGATGTCCAGTGTCAACCAAGTGTTGTAAAAGGGAACTGTTGATGGATTTTACGGTGCCTTTTCGTAGTGACGCAGGACAATGCTCAGCGATTCTTTTCGTATGTCCAAGATACCTACCACCACAGGTGCAAACTTTAGAGCGGGTAGACGAACAAGAGAGAGCTTTTGATAAATTAGAATTATTAGAATCATTTAAACTCTGATGAAAAGTTTTCACATGCACGAAAATGCTTAGTAACGACAAAGTCAACCAGAGATTCTCTGGGCATTCCATTATACTCTGGAATGAGCTTAATGGGACGCACAATAAATGTGGTCTTTTTGTAGAAGACCAGGAAAATGATAGGTGAGCAAGGTAGCCAATGTAGGAGAATACAGACATTGTTTATTTACACTTAATGCACCATTATTCCGTTGACACGAACCGTGCTTCACACGCCTGTAGGCTTGTTATTATACAATGCTGAAAGCACCATATAAATGGAATATATAGTCCCTCTGTCTCATTTCAAATAGAGCTACCTTTAGCTCGTGATCATGTGGCGCAAATGTTTAAGACCAAGTCATGCTTAACTCCCATACACTCCCATCTGAGTGGAAAAATGGAATTATCACTCCAATATATAAAGGAGGTAAGCGCTCGGATCCTGCTAACTACCGACCTATTACTCTCCTCCCTGTTTTATCAAAAGTTATGGAATCGGTAATCGCAGATGGACTGACGAGATACTTTGAAAGTCAACAGATAATTTCTAATGCCCAACATGGGTTCCGACGCAGACGATCTTGTCTCACTAATTTGCTGATTACTCGGGACTTATGGACCAGGGCGGCTGATGAAGGAGTGCCCATAGATGTGATATACCTGGATTTTTCTAAAGCATTCGACAAGGTCAATCACTTCTTTCTCCTGCAAAAGCTTGCTGCCTACGGTATCAACGGTTCCCTGCTCACCTGGTTGGAAGACTACTTACACGACAGAGCAATCAAGGTAAGAGTAGCCGACACCTATTCCGAAAGCCTTTACGTCTCCAGTGGTGTTCCACAAGGATCCGTCCTCGGCCCGCTACTATTTTTAGTCTACATTAATGACCTTCCAGCAGACATTCTATCTCCAATGCGAATATTTGCAGACGATGCTAAAATATGGAGAACAATTCGATCAATATCCGACCGTGTCTACCTCCAGGAAGATCTGACCCGGATTAACGAATGGGCAGAAAAGAACCAGCTCCCACTGAACCCTGCAAAGTGCCAGCTGCTGACGGTGCACAACAGCTTCGTCAACACATACCTTTTGGGGCAACACGTCATGCAACACGTAACTAGTGAACGCGACCTAGGTATAATCGTGCAAGAGAGTCTTGGAAATTCACTCCAATGTTCGAAAGCAGCAAGTATGGCGAACATGAACTTGAGACTTTTGAGGCGAGCTCTCGGCACTTTTGAGCGACAGCTAGTACCATTGTTGCTTAACTCCTACATTCGTCCTCATGTTGAATATGCAATTCAGGCCTGGTGTCCATGGTTAAAACGAGACATCCGCCTCTTGGAACAGCCCCAAAGAAGAGCCACAAAGGCAACGCGTGGACTATCCAATATAAGTTACGAAATGCGTCTTCGTGTACTCGGTGTCTTCTCATTAGAATACCGACGGCTTCGCGGAGATCTTACTCTCACATACCGGATACTAACCGAAAGCGAGCATCCATGTACATCACTGTTGACTCTAGTCCCATACAAACAAAACCGAGGCAACCATCTGAAACTAATGACGCAACACTCGTTTGAATTGTAGAAAGTATTTTTTCTCACTTAGAATCTGTTCTCACTAGAATGCATTACCAAAGTATGTGGTGAACGCACCAGACATGAGGACATTCGAATGAGTATTAGACTTTCATCTTAGTGATAAACGATACACAACACTTGGTTAAAGTGCAATGATTTAACCACTGATACTTTACGTTCCACGTTGGAACATTTTGATTTTAATTTTCTTATGCATATCCATACTGTGGGTCTTGTAAAGTTATGCTTTTTATCCCATCATACACTATTGAACCATTAAAAGTGTAAAATTAGTGTAGAATATTCAGCAGACGCTCCTAGGTAAGGTAGCAGCCAACATATGAGAGGAAATAAACACCTCACTTGACGCACCTTCAACGAAAGATTATAATGGGAATAATTGCAATTAAACCTCAGACGCTCACATTCATGCAACATTTGTAGCATATATTTATGTATCTGTTGAGCCCAAATGAGTCCAGGGAAAGTACAAAATCTCGGAGAAGATTCCTAGATGACCCACTTTATAACTGAACAGTGGTGCTGTACAATCGTGTCATACATAAACCATGTTTGAATACATAGGTCAACAATAAGCGTTAACGCTACGCAGACGTCTGAATAAATGTATCAGCCCAACTCCTGCCAAATAGGCATTCTCGGAGACACTGTGTTAATCAGTTTATCTGCTTAGAAGTTGTGTCCACCGACATAGATTGCTCGGAGTAAGAAATGTTCAGGTTGATTTCATCACGATTGTTCTCTAAATAACACAGGATAAAATAATAAAAAGTGAATAATCAAGAGAACAGGCAAGATAATTCAAGCGTTCGGCGTTTTTTCCTGCTTGAATCGTAAAACGTTGCCTCGCTGCATTTTGTTTTTTGCTATAACAAAAGGATGATTTGTACCTAAACCTGACATAAATCACCTTAATTAATCCAATTTACAAATCCATGACATAGAAAATCACGTAGGTATAGCTGCACTTGACAGCCTAATACGACGTGCGTAGCACCTGGCCTACGGCCGTGTAACTTGTATGGTTTAAGCATGCATCTTCAGACCATTACAACCATATACAGGCTTAAAAACAAGTAAAATCGACCAGGTTTGTTGAGGTTACAATGATTGACAAAATTAAACTGCGCCTTAATGAGTCAATTGTGTGTACGGAGTTTGACTTGAAGCAATTGAGCTCTGTGTCTTGCGTTTTCGCCGGCCTAGGAAGCTCAACAGGATGGACTAATTACTTTTGCGAGCACAAGGATGGATTAAACAATCGGAAACAAATTGCCTCCGCCGTGGCAAGTGTACGGAGCCATGGAATTTCGACCTGTGCGGAGAAACCTCGTATACTGTAGTAGAAGCATGCTTTAGATCCACCTGATGCCCAATGTCGACGATATGGGTCAAAATGGAGCTAGCGCCACCGTGACGCAATCAACGTGGACAGTGCTTGTTCACGCGATTTTAAAAGTGCCGCACCGTTCGACCGATATACGTTACATCATAAACGCATTCGAACTGATAAATAACCATGGAGGTGGTCAGCATTTACAATTTGGCTTTGTTTCGTGAAGGAATCAGTGGTTCGGTTGAAAACGCGCATTGTAACGCGGCTGCTGTGAAAGTCGACTTAATTGCGGCTGAAAGAATTCTAGTTATCCGCTCAGTAGCTACATATCTTTCGAAAGGTAGTCGTATGAATAGCTCTCTCTTTACCACTGTTAACACGCACTGGCTTAGATTTTTCTTGGTTCTCTTAATATAAATCTGTCAGGGTACCCATGTTCACACAACGTATTCTGTGTGAACATCAGTTCAGCTTCGATGGTGTTCTATGATATCACAAGCCATTGATGTAAATCTTCAGAAAGCCACTCCATGTTGTGCCGTGTCGTCTCCAGAGGATGCTCATCCGGCTTCCTAAATACGATTTGGAACACAAATGCACATCGCAGACGCGTTGTCGAGCCCATCTTTCGGATGCAGATGTAATGCAAGAGGACCTCGACACGGTTCACGCGACACAACTCGCCATCACCGGAGAGTGTTTACAACTGAGACGTTGCACGGACGAAGATGCAGTTTGCAAGAGTTTAGTACGAACAATAGTTAATGAATGGCCAGAAAATAAAATGCTTTTGATCGTGAAACTGACACCGTATTTTCATTTTCGTGATGCACTCGTTTTAGAAGACGGCTTAATCTTCAAAGGAAATCGAGTGTTAATCCCAAGGCAATGCAACGTACCATGCTGGAGATGACTCATGGTGTACACTTGAGAGTGAATAATTGCGTCACACGAGCACTGAGCTAAGGTGCTAATGATCTCCACTGTCTGGCTGTAGCCCCTTCCAGGTTCCCGCCATAGAAACCCGCACCACGATGAGAACTTGGCTCCGTCAGTTGCTCTGGAGGACGCAGCAACCTGTGTCGAGGATGGCGAGCTGAGTCAGTCAATTTTCCGCGAGATCTAACGTAGGCCCAACT